AGACAGACAAACAAACAAATAAACAAACACAGACAGACAAACATAGGCAGACAGACAGACAGACAAACGGTCAAACAAACAAACGGACAGATAAACAAACAACTAGACAAACACAGATAGAAAGACAGACAGACAGACAGACAGACAGACAGACACAGATAGACAGACACAGATAGACAGACAGACTGACAGACAGGCAAATGGACATCAGAAAAACAGACAGAGTGACAGACAGACTTTCAGACAGACAAACAGGCAGACAAACAAAGAGATGAAAAATCGGACACGCAAAACTCGAGAAAGCAAGCAAAGAAACAAACTTTTACACTGACAAAGAGTKAACACTCAAAACGTTGGACATGATTGGTTAAGTTTACTACTTATAATTTTCACTAGCTCATTGAAAAAGAAAACATAAGAGGAAAGTGAAGTATCAATATATACTCGCCAAAACAAAACAAAAAAGGCACACTTATTTCTCAAATTCAAGTGTTCAAGAAAATTACCTGTTTGACAGTTGTTTCCAATGTAACCTGCTACGCATGCGCACGAGTAGGAGTTCACACCATCGGTACAAGTACCGCCATTCTCACACGGATTCGATGCACACTCATTGATATCTAGAGAAACGAAAAAAAAATTAACAATTATTCCCCGAAGGCGAAGCGAATCCGGGTGGAATATCTACCGAGACGCGAGTCTTGCTACAGTAGAGAGTTTTAGATTGACTTTTTCTCTAACGGCAAACGTGAGCACATTTTCATCGTTTTCGTGTATTTTACTTTACCTTTTACAAACCTTCTCACCAAGCGCAAATATTCTTTTGTTTTTCTACTACTTGGACTTTTTTGCGATTCTTTTTCAGTAATTTAAAAGAATTTTTTACTGGTCAAATGACATTTCACGTTTGCCGTGAAYGTAAATCTAAAACTCTCTAATATTTTTCGTTTACCGCTAGTCTAGAGCTGTTTTTGGTTTTTAAATATTTGACAAAAAAAAAAAAATTTCGACGATATTTGTCTATCGTTGTCAAGGTAACGTCGATCAAGCTAAAATTAAAATCATTCAAAATTTTCATCTTAGTTCTAAAGCTGGTCCAAAAATCAAATCCATAGGTTTAGATTAAGGCTATCAATAAGCAGGATGATGATAGCTATGGTCTGAAAAATACTGTAGGGAGTCACCTTAACACAAGAGAATAAAATTAATAACGGAGAGGGAGTTTTTTGATTTTTCAAATTTTATTTATATCTGCAAGCGGCACACATTGACAAACGAGCGTGCGCGAGTTATATTCACTTGTAGGCGAATATAGCAGCATAAGATGTAAATTGTAACCAATGAGCGCGTCGGATTTACGGTATTCACTTGTGTAAAAATACAAATTCAAAATATCTGTTTATTGAATAAATCTGTTATTGATCCATAAATGTAAAATCAGTCATCATACTTTATACTTTTGTCAGACCAAGATACTGTATTAATGAAGACAATATCAAAAAAATTAGACTTAAGTTTCAAGCATGGACACTAAGTTTTGGCATTGTGTGAAGTCCAATTTATCAGGCATGTTTGAAGTCAAATTTACATACTTTTACAACAACATGAAGACGTTTTGACTAATTTACATAGGGTTTCAGAGCATGCGCAGACGTGTGTCTGTCGACCAGGAATGTATACTTACCCGTTTGGCAGTTCTTTCCGGTGTATCCCCCTGCGCATGTGCAAGAATAGTCGTTTTGAAGATTGTTGCATTTGCCGCCATTTTCACAAGGATTTGATTGACACTCATCGACATCTAAAGAAATGAAATAAATAGTTAATAGGTGTCATTTGGTACAAAACTTGCCTCACCCCACCCCTAACAATATAAAAATTGCTCCATGGATGTACGTTAGGTTTGTTACACAACTTCCTCATTAGGTACAAACTTGCCTCACCCCACCCCTAACAATATAAAAATTGTTCCATGGATGTACGTAAGGTTTGTTACACAACTTCCTCATTTGGTACAAAACTTGC